TGGTGCGGAGACGGAGGAGGAGGGAGAGAGGAAGGACATGACGAGGGAAGGAGAGAAGGAGGAGGAGGGAGGAAATGGAGATGGAGAGGAGGGACGAGGATAGATGAGGAGATATGAGGAAGAAGAGGAGGAGGAAGCGGAGGAACAGCACCAGCAGCAGCAGCAGCAGGGAGGAGGAGCAGAAAAAAACAGAACTGATCAAACTGCTAAGGGTCGCCCTCGACCCTCCAGCATCGAGGGAGATTTTGCGCCGTTTTCGCTGTCGGCTGTTATGACACCGCTGGGAGCATCCCGAGGCCTCCTTAAGGACCTTCGGGGGTCGGGACCCAGGGCGGTACTGCATCTTACGGAGGACGAGTATGAGAATCATCCCTCTTCCTGCTACTTTTGCTGCCCTTGCTCCTACAGGACAGTTTTCAAGATATAGGATTGTTTTAAACATGAGATTTTTATAATGATTGATTCATTTATGAATAAATTTGTGCATGAACTCATTGTTGCTTTTAATGCTGAATCCCTGTACTGTTTTAATACATGACCCGCACGCGGAGCATGTAGTAAAAACGGCACTGTACTCCTCTGCCTGGGATTTCGCGGGCATCTCCCGCGATCACCGTTGGATTCTGTTTGGAACGCGATCCAGGCGAGAGCGAGGGGGTTGTGTGACGAGGATGACAAGTATGAGGATGACGCTCTGGTGGCGACGGCGAGTATATCAACGATAGGGGGGATGATTATTTGGATTGAAGAAGACAGGGATGAGGATAGACGAGGGCGGATGTGGACGGAAAGAGAGAGGGACGTAGAGGGAGGAGTAGTAAGAGGAGGAGCACGATGGCGAAAGCTGGGCGAGGAGAAGGATGGATGACCAGAGTCAGCCCAAAATGCATCAGCGACAGCGATGCCTCAAGATCCCTCTTGTCCCAAAGCCCCTCCTCATGAGTCCATGCGAGTTTCCTTTGTTACTACATGAAGCGCTCCACGTGAAAGACCCACGCAATATGGGTGTTTTTTTTTGACGATGGCCTGTTTTGAACGAGGCCCCCTTTTCGAAAATGCATCGCTCCCCGTCGATGAACCTCTTGTACAAAACCACACTTTCGGTCATGACCTCCGAACAAAGTCTCGAGCCCCTAGCACGAACTGCGATGTTGCGAAAGAGCCGCCCTCGATACGTGCAGTGCTACGTTGTTGAAGTCTTGGGTGTTCTTACCGAAGATTAAGGGAGTCTGAAGCGAGATCGCCGTTTTGCAAGATGGCAGTCCTCTATCCCTGTCGCTGCTGCCCGTTGCAAGCTTTCACGACGAATACACGTGGCGCTGAAGCGAGACCCTCATGTTAAAAACATCATCATGTGCTCCATCATTGTAACGAGCACACAATGTTAGCAAGAGCGTGCGGGGCATTGAAGCGAGAACCCCACTAAAGAAAACTTGAGGGGGCTGAAGCCGGGGTGGGGAGCAGCAAAAAGCCAACGTGCCCTGCACAGTGACTGGCAGCATGCTTGCACATAATGTCGAGAAAGTATTCATTCTCGCCAGCGTGTGGCTTGACAGGCTGGGTTGCGTGGTGATGTTTACGTAGAAGCCGCTGACGCGACAATCAAACACACAGGGCAAATCCAGCTGCAGAGACAGTCGTCATCTTCCTCACCCCTTCCTGAGCGCTAAGATTTGCCCCGACACTCGAAGCTCGAGAAAGGAGGTTCTCAATGCTTTTGTGTGCTTATGTTTGTGAAGTGTAGTTTTCTGGCAATCTGGGGGCCTTTGGAGATCTTCATTTTTTTCCAGGGGCCACCGGGGACGTCTGGGGATGAAGATCTGGAACGGCTGGAACGGCACTGAAACTGCCTCTCCATTTCTTCAAGATCGATTCCTGGACCTCCGCGGACCTTTCAAAACGCATCCAGCCATGGTGACGAGGGCCAACGAGGAGGCCCGGAAAGGGCTACAAATTCCGCCCTGTCCTCTTCCTTCTCGTCTTCCTGCTCCTCCTCGTCTTTCTCCTGTTCCTCAGCCCTGGGTTAGGTGGAGCGGCGGGTGGGAGATTATTATGGGGGGGAGGCGGTGCGCACTATCCCAGCGGCTCGAGCTGCCTGGAAGGAAAGAAAAAGTAGTAGCTCTGCCGCGACGTCGGCGGACGCTAACAAAGCAACATGCAATGTTTGTATGCGCACTGTCTGGATACGCTTCGGCCAGAAGGGGTACGGCAAGGGGGATGGACAGTAAGTCGAAGCGGATGGAGGACAATGGGGAGAGAAGGGGTACCGAGGCAGGAGACACTAGAGACGGGGTGAACGCGCGAGCGATGGATACAAGGTGAGAATCAGGGAGGATGTGGCACGGAACATGACGGTGCACATGGGTAGCAAGCAAGGGACATGGACAACACGGCAGGGAAGAAAGGAGCCGTAGGAAAGACGGGGCGCTGTAAACGTACCGTGGAAACCAGGCTGTACGTGCACAGCTGGGTCAATTCAGCCTGGTCCGTTAAGCTTGGCCAGCGAAGCTTGGTTGGTTAAGCTTGGCTGGTCCCACTGGGCCAAACAAGCTTGACCATGCAATTTTGCTGTTGTAAGCTTGGGGATGACACCTTGGATATTGAATCTTGGACAGCCAAGCCTGGCTAGCCAAGCTTAGTTTGTTAAGCTTGATCAGCGAATTCTGGCTCGTAAAACCTACAGATGCAAGTCTCCTAAAAAGTTGGTTTGTCAGGTTTGGATTGCTACTCTTGATTAGTTGTGCTTGATTGATGAAGCTGGGCTGGTGAAGCTTCGCTGGTGACTAATGGGTAGCCATACATTTGAATTGACCATGGTTCGGTAAACATGGCAAACCTGGCTAGCCAGGCTTGGCTAGCTACGATGGGTCAGCTAAGTTTGGCGTGCTGAGCTTGGTTAGTTGTGCCAGGTGAGTTGGACTTGGTTCGAAAAGCTGAGTTAGAGAAACTTGGCTAGTGACACTTTGTGGTTTGAGCTTGGCTAGCGAAGCTTGGTCACTTACGCTTGGTTGTTTATACGTGGTTTCGTGAAGCTGGGCTAATTTATATAGGTTGTTGAACATGCACGGATGGAAATCATCGGACGGAACCCGCTCATGCGCGGAGAGATCGTGTTCAAGGCGTCGTGCCAGGCCGTAACCTGATGTTGATTACAACAATCATTTCGTCCAGCTTGGTAGTAGGTTGCGATTGACTAAGTCAACTCGGTGATTTACCCTTCCAGACAGGAGCTGATAAACGAGATTGAAAGTCACATTCATGGGGATGCTTCAGATTGTAATATGGATGTTGATCGTGGCAAATTCGCGACCCTTGGCTTGTTAAGCTGGCTGGGTTAAGCTTGGCGAGATAAGCCTGGTTAGCTAAGATTGGTGACTGAAAAATCCTGAGGAGGATGCCTCGCACTGGCGGAGATCGTAGGTATTGGACCGTGCCAGGTAGTGATATGGCTGTTGCTTCAATTTGTTATTTGGTACAAGGAACCACTTTTGTCAAACGTATAGGAGCCCACAACACAACACATCACGAATCCAGAAGAGTGTTCCCAGAGAGCGTATCAAAGCTGTGCCCAGAGAGCTCAGAAGACGCTTGGAACGGCTACGTCGATGACCCTTCCGAGCTGTCTTGGGCCCTCCGAGGCTGTGTTAGGCTCTCGGGGGCATTACGAATGTCACTCGGAGCGTCGTGTGGCCCTGTCGGGAGCCTCTTGAAGGCCTGGGGCTGTACTGGGTCCTTCTCGGGACCGTCTTGGCTACCATTTGGAGCGTAGTGGCGCGCTCTTGTGGCCTTTTGAAAGTCCCCGAGGTCCGCCCACGACCGGCCGACTCCATCGCCACGCGCGTTCTGGTTTCAGGCAGGCACGCGCAGAGGGTTCACGAGGGAGCGATGGAGGAGAGGAATCCTGAGGGATGAATGCGACATGATGGAAAACGGAGAAGGCTGCGGTAACGAGAGCAGGTGGAGAAAGGAAGAGAGGGAGCACGTAATCAGGATGGGAGCTCCTCCTCCTGCCGTTCGTCCTCCTGTTCCTCCTCCTGTTCCTGCTGCTCCTCTTCCTCCTCCTCCTCCTCATTCTCCTCCTCCTGCTCCTCCTTTTCCTCCTGCTCCTCCTGGTTCTCCTCCCCCAGCCGCGCCTCTGGACGTGTTGGTAGGGCAGGCCGGGCGTTTCGCCTGAGACTTCCTTGCCACTTATGATCCTGAAGCTTGAAGTCTGCAAGTGTTTCACGGATGGAAGGCTGGTGGTCTTCAAGATGTGGCTCTCGCGGATGGAGGGCGGTTCTTCAAAATGTGGCTCTCGCTTCAGCGCCGCGCGGATTCTTTTGTTTTGGAAGTTTGCAGCAGTTTCACAGATGGAGGGCGGGTGGTCTTCAAAATGTGACTCTCGCCTTAACGCCGCGCTCATTCGTCTTACAAGTTTGACACTACCTCACGGATGGAGGGCGGGTGCCTTTCGAAATGATGCTATCGCCTTAGCACTGCTGGCATTCGACTTCAAAGTTTGCAGCAGCTTCAAGGATGGAGGGCGGTCCCTTTTCAACGTGTGGCTCGCGCCTTAGCACTGGTCGAATTCGTCTCAACATTCTGCAACCTGTTCAAGGACTCGTCTGGTCATATGTCTGGTCGAGACCCAAGAATTGCGTTCCAATGCGGTCTAGGATGGTCAGAATGCAACTGTTGTGTTGGTTCGGGGTGTTGAAATCCCAACAATGGAATTCTGGCACGAGTTGGATTGTCAACACGCAACAACCACGTTGATCCGCGGCGTTGAAATCCAAACGACGGCGTTTTGGCACGATTGGGGATTCTCGGACGGTTGTCTTCTAATGAGTCAGTTTCCTTAATGGAAGCACATGTATTCAGGGACCGATGAAGAGGAAACTTGGAGGGAGGGATGATTGCAACATCGCTGATACGTTTTAGGTTTGCACTGGTCCTCCTCCTGTCCTCAGATCCTTTTCCCCTGAAGCAGAGGCAAAACGCGGCGCGCGCGCGCTCTCCGCCTGCCCGCGCCGAGCACCACCAGCGGGGACCTGCGGGGAATGGAGGGGGGCCATTTGTTCGGGGGTACCTCACTCCCTCCCTCCCTCCTGCTCCTCCTGCTTCTCCTGCTCCTCCTGGTCCTCCTGTTCCTCCTCCCCCCCTCCTCCTCTTCTTGCTCCTCCTCCTCCTCCTCCTCTTCCTCCTGCTCCTCCTTTCCCCTCTCCTTGCTGCCCGTACCTCTCTTCCAGTCATCGTCGTCGCCTACCACCTTCGCCCCCACCCGGCCCGTGAGCACGGTTTCTTGCACGCCCTGGCGCTCGATCTCCCCCGCTGCCCTCCCGAGCGCGAGGGCACCTGGGGCCCAAGCGGCCGGAGGAGCAGCAGACGGCGGAGCCGATCGCGGCGGGCCTCGCTCGTGGTTCGCTCCGCGGTGGGCATCCTGTGGGAGCGGCTGCGCAGCGGCCGATGGCCGAGGGCCGCCGCCCTCCTCCGCAAATCGGGGACAAGAGGCGGCTGACGAGGAGAAGGAGGAGGAGGAGGAGGAGGAGGAGGAGGAGGAGGAGGAGGAGCAGGTGCGCGACCCCAGCAGGAGGAGGAGGAGAAGAGGGAGGCCCGCCGAAACTATCCCTCCTCGATGACACTCGTGGCTGCGAGCCGGCTGGCCCGCTCCGCGGCCAGCCGCTGCGCCTCGCGGCCAAGCTCCTCAGCCTGGCCACGCGTGCGAAAACCGAATGCTGGTAAGGCGTCGCTCAGTGCCACCCTTGGGCATGGCGCGCCCCACCGAACAGGAGGACCTAGCGGAGGCTCGGCGGTGCGGGCCACAGGGCCCTGCGGCGCCTTTCAATCCGAAATGGCTGACCCAGGACGCCCGTACCGCCTCCGACGGGCTGCGTGCCTCGTCGATGGCCGCATCCCAGGCCCAGTGGGGGTGCATCCCACGGCCGACGCGGCTGCGTGCATTTTTTGCTCTCGGGGGTGGCTCACCGTCCCTAGGCGGACAGGGCGCTAAGAGCCCATGGCCCCGACCAGGGCACGTGGCGTGACCCCAACAAGTCGTACAACATAGCATTGATGAGGACGCGCCCAGGGGACCACCCTCTGGGCCTCGCCACTCGCGAATCTGGGCAGCAAGGAGGCTGTGCCCGCGCACGCGCAAGGGCCTAATTTGAGGCGGAGCGTCCGCGCGCGCCTCGAGATCCGAGCCTGGACGAGCGGCCGCGCTTGCGTTCGCCGCTGGGGCCGAGCCAGCGCCTGCAGCATCAGCGTGCGATACCCCCCCAACTCCCCAAAACTCGCCCTCAGACCCCGACCACCCCTCCACCTCGAGCTCAAAAGTGCGGAGGGCCTCGAGGCCTCGATAGTCGCGAGTGCCAGCTCCAGTCAGCACGGCCTCCATGCGCCCCGTGTATCGGGTGAAGGGCCGCGCAAGATGGAGGCACCCAAAATGGAAGGCGCGGTCATCTTCGGCCAGCCGGCCTTCGGCCGCCCCAGCCTTTGTTAGGGCGTAGCCTTTGTTAGGGCGTCGGCCTCGTGATTCACGTTGCACTGCCAAGCCGCGATTCGCCCCTCCACGACGTCGTTCCACGTCGCGTGCGCGAGGACCTTGGAAAAGGTCACGTCCTCGAGCGCATCGCTAGCAGCCGCCTGGCGCCACAGGTGGGCGCGGGGCTGGCCTGGCCCGCTGGCGCTCGCCAGGTTTTGCCCGCGCGCGACCGCGGCACCGCAGTCCGAATGCAGCGCGTAGCGGCCAGCGGCGTGCCTTGACGCCACACGGACAGCATGGCCCTCCCCATCCCTGGCGGACCGGGGCGGGCACAGACTTCGAGGCGCCGCCCCGCGCAGAGAGCCAGAGACGAAAATCGGCGTCGTAGGCAACCGCGGCCCAACTAGCCACCCTCTAGGCGGGGAATTCGGCGTCGAAACAACCTCCATCGGTAAAAATGTGCCCGCCGTCGAGCACGAGGCCGGTCAACGGCCAACGCTCCGCCCGGAGCACGGCGCCAGGCGGCAACGGCGGTCTCCGAAAAACACTGGGCAGGATCGGGCAAGATTACAAGTGCAAAACGTTCCCCGGCCTCCCCCCCGCCCTCCAGCACTCGAGCGGCGGCACCGCGCGCGCCGCTGGGTCTAGATTGTTCGCCCTCCAGGCGCGGCGCGCTGGGCACTGGAAAAACCTATGATGCAGGCTGCCAGGCGCGCCGCGGCAGCACTGGCAAAGGTCGGAAAGCCCCGGCCCCTCCCCCTCCCTGCGGAGGCGGGCCCGGAGCCAATGCGTTCCGCAAAGCAGGCCTCGCTGAGCCCGCTTGCGGTGGAAGCTCCAGCGTCGGCAGCTCGTTGAGGGGGCGCCAGAAGACTGGCGCAACCCAGCTGAAGCGGCCAGGCCTGACCAAGCGGCCCATGGCGTGAATGTCGGAAGCTTGCAGGGCCGCTTCCTGCGCCTTGAGACGGAAGAAGGCAGGCGAAAACTCCTGGAAGTCCTAGCGGTCGCCCTTCTCGTCACTCAGCGTGAAAGGGTCGTCCAAGCTCCAACCGGCGCACTGCAAGGTGAGCACCGGCGCCATGATCGGGTTGCTGCAGCACACCCACGGGAAGCGTTGCGTCGCCTCCTGCCGACGCCATCCAATAGCACCTGCAGCAGGGACCGCTGGACGACGCCGTTCCAAACCATTTCGACGTACGCCTGGATGGCCAGCGCTGTGACCAGCACGAACGGGTCGCGCCTCCAGCCGGCGCGCCAGCTGGCCATGGCTAGCCCATGGGAGGCCCCTCGGGGGAGGCGCCCCTCGGCGCGGAGCGCGGGGCCCGTAGCCCTTTGAGCTCGCCATTGGGCGCGCCCTGGATCGCGGTGCCCCACAATGCCATCGCGTTTGGGCCAGCACGGTGAACAGACGCGATCGGCGCACCTGCCCGGCGAAGCTGCTCAAGGCGTTCGCTGCGAGCCTGAGCTTCTGCAAACCGCTGGCTCTGCGTGCCCGCGCGCCGCAGGCGCCCGGCCGTCGCGTCGCCCCCCAGGTCGCGATGTGCGTGCGACCTCTGCTCCATGCTGATGTCCCAGCGCGCCTCCGCGAGAGCCGTGGAGTTGGCGAGGAAGCCCGTCTTGCGGTCTGCGATCAGCAGGCCCAGGGCCGCCACGTCCTGCTTGACCGAATCGCAGACCCTCGCCAGCTGCTGCGTGAACGTACTCTCCCCGCCGACCCCGTGGAGGGAGATGTCGTCGATTGCGTTCTTGATGGAGATGATGGGGTCGCAGGCCGCCGCGCGCTTCAGCGCTGCCAAGAACATGAGGCGGGCCAGCGACGTGGCGCAAGAGCAACCAGCTATGACCCCACCGTTTACGACCAACTCGCGGCTGACAGCTCCCTGGAGCACCACGCGCCGGCGCGCGCGGTAGCAGCAACGCAGGCACCGCAGGAGTCCGAGGCCGAACTCGGCGTGCCGGGCGGCCTGCAACAGCTCCGAATGCGAGATGTGCTCGTAGTATTTGGCCATGTCCAGGAAGACCGTGGCCGAGGCGAGGCCGCGCTGGGAGGCGAACGCAGCCAGCACGTCGCGCACGTGCGCGCTCTTATCGCACGCGGTGCGCGAGTCCACCTCCCAGAAGAAACAACAGTCCAAGCGCGTCTCCCATTCGGCGCACCCAATGTGCCGAATCCGGCTCCAGACGCGCGCCATCAGAAGCATGAGACCAATGGGATGATCATCACCAACCACAGCGGCCCGACGTCGGGCCTCCGCTCGAACTCGTTGAGCACGTCTACCAATCGCTGCAGCATCATCGGGCAGATGCAGAAGAAACCTCGGGTGGAACGAGTCCCACCCCAAGGCCGTGCCGGCAAGGAAAGTCGCCGCTGCCTGGCGGAGATCGGCCACTGCGATCGGTGGAAGCCCCAGCTCGACGTCCCAGTTCAATGCGTGCGCTTCCGCCTGCCATGGCGCCGTGGCCCAGAGCGTCAACTGCAGGTGCGCTGCTCCGCCCCCAGCGCCGCCTGCCCCACCAGGGGGCCCTGCGCAGCCCGGGCGCCTCCTCCGCAGGCGGACCATCGGCGTGGGGGTGGAGAACTACCGGCGGCGGCTGCCTGGGGCCTCTGCTGATCTGGCGAACGGCCCTGCCACCGCCAGCCACGGCCTCCTGCGCGAAGGCAGACCAGGCGCGCCGCGCCTCGGCAGCAGCAGCCTTGGCTCGGCGGTCGCACTCACGATCGAGGGCTCCGGAAAGCCGCGGCGCCTGCCCCAGCAGCTCCGGAATCGAAATGCCTTGCAACGACTCTTCCCCTGCGGACTGCAAAGCCACAGCTAGCTGGCCGGCTGCTCTGCGAGGCGGCGTGCCAGCGCCGGGCCCTGGCGCCCCACGGCCTGGGCGCGTTGATGCACGAGCCGGCGGAGGCTGAGGGCCCCAGACGTAGGCTTCGTCCGCCCACAGGATGTCGAAGCCCTTGATGGGGGCCTTCTGCCGCTCCAGCGCGCGACCCGCCAGACCGCGCAGCTGCGCCTCCACCGTGGCGCGGGGCCCGCGCGGCGTGTCCGGCCAGGCGCGCGCTGGCCGCGCGAAGGGCGCCAGCACCTTGCTGGCAAGGACCAAGGAAGAAGTCGCTTCGCTTGTCATTGATGGCGGGCAGGTCGGGAGCCAGGACCGCCGCTTCGAGGTCGGAGACCCATGCAAGCTCCGTGAACTCGCCCGCGTCGACATTCCAGTCGCCAACGAGCTGGAACGGCCCCTGCTGGGCGGCCAGCGCCTCCCCCAGCTCCCCGAGGATGGTCAGATTGGGCTCCGCGAGGCCGACGCCGTCGACCAAGTAGACCGAGCCCACGATCGGGGAGAGGCCGTCCAGCTCGACCTGCTGCAAGGCGATCCTGCGCGCGCCCTCGTCGAACCTCCATTCGACTGCGCACGATCCCATGCGAGCCGAGGCCAGCGAGGCAACGCCCGCCGAAGTATCCAGCGGCCCGTCTCCCGTCGAAAGGGCCTCCACCGCGTGCATGCGGAATCCTGCCTTCCAGGCCCAAGCGCGCGGCCCCTACAGAGCCCGCTCGCGCTGCCGGTGCTCCTGGA